CACAGTAAATAAATAAGTATCAGTTTTGTAGATAATTTAAAATATCAACAATAACTTCTGTACACTGAATATCTACTTATTTTCGTGAATGTTTATTTTCGCGGGAACGCTTTAAACGACTCACGATTAATGTTTTGAACTCTTTCATCCCTTGGTAACTTGAGTAGACTCTACCATCCATACATTTATCGGAACGAGTCCATTATGGTATACAGTAGTGAAAGGGTTAACAGACGCAAACACATAGGTTCCAGTCTTACCTTTATTGGCTAGTGCCGTATATATTGAGACACACCTGGTGTACACCAAAGTTATTCCGTCTTTGCGTATTGCAGAGTTATCTTCTCTTGAGAACAGGTATTGATTGTTACGTCATTTGTTTGTGAGAGTAACGTCATCATTTTTTGAGAAAACGACGTAATTTTCTCACACAAACCAATGACGTAAAAATTAATACCTGCTCTCAAGAGAAGATAACTCTGCAATACGCAAAGACGGAATAGCCCTTGACTTCATGTGACAATAGTGTAAGAACCAACAATATACCATATTCATTTTAGGGTTGAGCTATCATTGTCGTGGAGGTGAATATTTTGGCTAATGTCTAATGTATCAAACTCCGTCGAAACACTATTTAAGGATCCCCGTACCGCTGCCTAACAGTATAACCTTAACCGGAAACACAATCCTTTGTCCTGCATAATATCACATCTATTCTGTCACCGACTCTATCGACGGGGAATCTAACAGGTCGTGTGTGTTTCTATGTTCGCCTTCTAGCGTAGACACTTCGAAAAAAGTAAACAAGATTACATTTGCGTCAACGCGGGGACCTTGGTACGGTCCAAAATAGTATCCATGGCATAACCCTATCAATTATCGTTGGTTGCACTCCGCCAGTCAAACAAAAAGCCAGACAAAGTAATATTTCACATCTCATTAGTGGTAATAAAGGTCAAAAAGCTGCACACATAAAGTTAAGCCTTCTATGAATTAAAAAAAAGAAGAGCTTAAACTTGTATGTTCCACTCATTCTGATGAGCTTGTTTATTTTTGTCCCAGACGATGCCATTTCCGTGTTTTAATTAAATTACCAAGTTCGTGTTAAGATTACATGTGGTATCTTTTTTTACACCGACCATTAAAGTGTATATTTTCATTACACGTAATTTCCGAGTGATTACCACGGAAATAGTAGAGTACACATTCGTTAAATGTTGTGAATGGTTGCTAACATGTTATCGATTGCTTGGAGCTTTGACGTGAATACCAATACACTTTTGGAGTATTGTTGTCACACAAACGCTATTGTTTGCCTACACATACATCTGGATAGTTTCATTTCCGGATAATTTAGACTTGTGTTACTCTGGGATTTTCCGAAGTGCCAATTTCCTCCCGGAAAGGGTTATTTTGCAGATTTATCAATAGAAATCATCTTTACGTATTCATAGCTGTGATTGCTGACTAGAATGGAAAAGCGATGTCTTTGTTTATATTTTAGGAGTTTTACCGATGTTTTTTTACGGTTTTTTGGATGTTATTGGAATAATTTAACGATGTTTTTCCACACTTAGTACACTCAATATGCAAACCATCTAAAATATCACTGCAATGTTTAAACAACATTATCTGACGTAGGTTGGGACAATAGGCAGAAGGCAACGCTCTAAGGTCTTTGGAATAGCCAGACATTCCAACTTATAACTGGATTTCGATCCCAGAGCTTGTAATACGCGAATCACTATGACAGCGCATTCGTATTCAGTTTCGTAATTGAATACATTTTGAATTGTGTCGCGCGGTCTGAGTTATAGAATTCTAATGATATAAATGTTTGAGTTAATGCTCCGACATGTATGTTATCCTTTACACCCTTCACAATAGAATATGCATATTTATTCTGAATACATACCATTTAAAGCAGAAAAAATGTACTGTCAATGTCTCTATTTTCGCGCGTGTTAAATCCCGTTTTTTCTTTTTGAGGAGCATAATTCGCGAATTATACGGTTAAGGATATTCCTTACAAAGAGAATAAATATTAATATAAAAGATACTTTTTTGATCGCAAATCGAAATAAAAGAAGACACAAATATAAAGGCACCGAAAGATAAGTGCAATCTAAAATAATGTACATAAAAAAAAGGTCAATGAAATCAGAATGTTGAAGTCTCTGTGTCAGAAGTCACTGGCTTTGTAATAAATCGGCAAAGAGGACGTAGCTATTTAAAAATTATGTTTTGGAACAAAGAATCGGGTTTCGATTCCCCAATCGGACGTGAAAAGGTTTGGGAGNCCCCCCCCCCCCCCCCCCCCCCTTGTACAACGAAGCATGGTTAAACATAAGATCACTGGACTTGAATGTAAATCTACAAGGCAAATAACACTATACTACAAATAACCATGTGTCGCTGTAAACATGTATCTTTCATAACGTCGTGATCGAGTCATATTATTTGTTTGATGAAAATGTTACTTTAAAAAACAACTTTATCAGGAAAAGCACGGCAATAATTCTTCAAATAGCGCAGATTAGTGAGGAATGATTTTATAAATATCTTTTACAACATTGCATCACATTTATCAGATAGAAAATAAACATTATCCGCAACAAAAATACGTTAACTTTAATAAAGTTATCTTGGTTAAATACTTGGTTTTTACACACCGGTATTTTCTCTGTGCTTTCTCATTGGATAACATGTTCTGATGTTTAAAAATACATACGGGTACTATATGGGCACCTACTGATTGTAAAACTTAATATATTTTAACGAAGATACTGTACATACGGGCATTTTAGCGGCATACTTTAGCAAATATATATACGGGAATTTTAACAGCATAAACTAATTGCATGACGTATTAATAGGATAATATGGATGTTTAATACGTAGATTGAGCTGCAGCAAGGCATCGATATGGCTATAAGATGCAGGCAATAAGATAATTTTCCAGACAGTGTGATAAATGAAACACGCCGCAGACATTTATACTGGTAGCACGGCTAAGATGTAACTATTAATTGATCAGAATGAAATTCAATCAACTTCTCAATATTTGCTATCAACTCAGTAAGATGTTATATTCAGTTTGTCAACAAATGAAATGTTCACAGTTTTACTTCTAGAACACCGGATTCTGTGTTTATTGAGAATTCATGATGTGTATTTCGTTTTGCTTCGTTTTCGAGTTCATTCACGTTGATATCATCATTTAGTCATTTAAATCCTTGCTCACCGGGTGCTATGTGTGAGTGTGCAAGGAAAGTTTAGTGGAAAGAAACATGTGTTCTGTTCTCTTTATATCAAGGGTCGCTTTTGTTGATTGCTATCCAAACAGTTGAATCGGTAAGACCAGAGTTGTTCTTTTTTATGAAATAAGCTCGGGCCTAGAACCCTGATGTTGCTTCAGGCGAGCATTGACAAATCCTTGCAAGATCTGTTTAATCATTTGCAGGTCCGCAAGGATTTATACCCGAAAATGTAACATTTAAAATCAGACGAACCGGTTGTTTCGCACAAATGGACAATCCAAAGGATGCCATGTCCATATGGCCTCTAATATGCAGAATAACCGTTTTAAATCTGTCTTATTGAACTGCATAGGGCAGACAACCTGATGTAACTGTTTAATACTTGTCATTACAAGTTAATGGGTTGTCACAATTTTCACAGTATCTATTAAAACAAGTTGTCATAATAGGGCTAGGTGACGGAATTTTAACGATGTTGCTTCAAAGACAAGTCAGCAGTATTAAGTTATTTTTAGTCACAATTTTCACGAGATGTCGTGTCGAGAATCAGTTTTTTTGCATTATGGTTGTCATAGTTTTCGCAATATATACTATATTATTAACTTTTAGTATAGGGTAATGTGTGTTAAAATGTTCACGATATTTCTTGACATTTTCACAATATCTCTTGAACGGAAATAGTCAGTATCGGGTAAGTTGTCATAATTTTAACGATACTAAATTAACACAAACCATTAGTATAGGGTAATGTCTGTTAAAATGTTCACGATATTTCTTGACATTTTCACAATATCTCTTGAACGGAAATAGTCAGTATCGGGTAAGTTGTCATAATTTTAACGATACTAAATTAACACAAACCGTTAGGATAGGGTAAGTTGTGTCAAAATGTTTACGATATCTCTTTAACAGGTGTTGTCAGTATAAGGTAATGTTGTCACGATACAGCAACAGCAGGAGTTACATCTATACCGTAATCGTTGTCAGAACGTTCATCTCGATACTATTTAAAGAAAGAGTTGTGAGTTGAATGTAATATTTGCAAGAATTTCCACAATATCTCTTTGACATCAGGAATATTTTTTGAACATTCCACATGTGTTGCCAATAGGTAGATATATATATATATAAATATGGGACATCAATGTATGATATTCACTTCGTTGTTTATTAAGTAGCATCGGTATCTTTATAAAGATATTCATCATTTCTGTTTTGCTTTCAAGGACTGGAATAATATCGTCAGAAGTTCTGGAGCAAATAAAATATGTGTTGATTGTAGCCGATTCTGTTGGATTTACGATAGCCGGTACATACGTGGATTTACTACCGTCGACATAGATCTGTAGATTATGCTTACTACACAGACCAGGGAAATATTAGATACATTTGTCCAGATCAGTCAGGCATGACGAGTGTATTTGTTTTAAAGTCAATAGAAACTGGACCCCTCGAATTACATATACATCTATAACTTTATAACCTGTTGTGGAACATTTACGACATTGCTCTGATTGGCGACAGCTGCAAAATGATAGCTATCTAAATATCGGACGACCAATAAAGTATTGACAGCCTACCAAAGTAAATTTAAGAATTAATATAACAGAAATATCTCAACAACATAGAGGTCAGTGTTTATTCGTACACAATTGTTTAACAGCTGTATTTTTCAGTAAAATTGTGTTAGGTATTGTGCGCGTTCTAAGACCAGCCCTTGCTTTATATGTTGGCGGATTTTGAACCATATTCATCTATATTAAGTGATAGATGTCATCTCTACTGCGTAGTAGAATAACACGGTGTCAATATCTAGGTATCAAAATGAAAGCTGTGCCGTCTTTAATGACATAGTAAAAAGCTCATATTGCGATAGACCAAGATCAGTTTTATATCAAAACATATCAAGTTCTGTTATTTGATAGTTTCGTCAGTGCTAAACTTCAGTATATAACTACCTTGTGAAATTGAAATGTCATAGAGTCTTATACAGAAGAGTGTATAGATTGGATTATTTCCAATCATGGAACCCAAACAGATACATACATATGTTTGCATTGCCTTGTTCTGTATGGTGATTTCTGTGAGTTCTATTGTCGTAAAGATCGCGACGATATTGCCCGCGGACAATAGCAGGATCTTCTCTATTGACCGCGTGACCCCTGCCATACAGATGGCAATAGACGAACTTAGCAACAACTACACACTTGTTGAAAATCTCACCTTTTCGGTAGAGTACGCAAACTCGCAGTGTTCCATCGCCGAGGGAATTAACCAAGCAATAGATTTCTATATCAACAAAAAGGTCGACGCATTCTTTGGTCCAGTTTGTGACTATGCCGTGGCCCCTGTTGCTAGGCAAACACGATTTTGGAATATACCTTTAATTTCCGGTGGCGCCATGGCACGCGACTTTGCTATATACCGGAAGTCACAATATCCAAAGTTGACCCGAGTGGGTCCGGTGAACTTCAACTCCCTGTCGGATTTCTTTGTTAAGTTGTTTCGACACTCTGGGTGGAAATCTCTGAAGATTCTGTACAATCGCGAGGGACACGCAAACGTTTTCGAGGATTTCTGTCACTTGTGCGTGGAAGCTATTCACTACGACATCATTGAAAAAGCGCGGGAAATTAAACAGGATTATTTTCGTTTAGATGAAAAAACGGATCTTCGGACGATACTGCTGGAAGAAGTAGGAAATACGTTTGGAGGTAGGTTCTTTGAATTTTCACTGAAGCAGAAATGTATATGAATGTATTTTGTTTTTTCATGGTTGTTTAACAGCATGTCTGCTTTCAGGATCTCTCAGTACAAGTATATCTTTGACTGAGGTGTTTGTATACGTTTACAGTACATACGATATAGAATGGTGCTGGACTAATAACTCTTTCTACACTTCACATAAAACAACTCTAGACTTCCCTGGCTAGCGACAAACTACTCGCAAGTACTGTCAAAATCTCCATTTTGCCGTCCTTTACTTTCGCGGATTATTAAAACATATTTAAATTCCCGGCTTTCCCTTTCCTCGTAAATATGTACTGCCATGACACATAGTATGTAATACCAGTAATTTCGTGGGCTATTTTCGCGGATTTTTTTTTTTTTTCAAAAAAAATAGAACTCTATGAAGCAATCAACATTTCCTGTTCAATTAATATACCCCTTCTCTATCTTGATGGTGTGTTTGGTTGTTTTTCTCCCATCCTGCTTCACTCACAAATCCGCCGCCATTACCCAGGTACATTTTATGTTTTTTTAGCAGGTCCAGGTTTGTCTTCCATAGTTTTTTACTGTTCACATGACGTCAATGCATTGATGACGTGACGTCATATTATTGTAAAGACTTATATCACTCCATTCTGTACAAGGCTATCTCTGCCCCCCCCCCCCCCCCCCCCCCCCCCCCCCCCCTAGCGGGTGTTAAGCGGGTCTTTTTCAGGCTTTAAAGGGAGACACACCTGTGAAGGATTGGATTGGAGAAGTCGATTCGATATCGCTAGAGCAGATGTACTGAGATTGAATGCCGCCGTGCCAAGTTCAGTTCAGAGCTGGAATTCCTATTGTTAATATGTTCAGTACGTTAAGGTAAACGTTGTGGGGGGAAACTAAACTCTGGATATCAAAACAGTGGTGTCAACAACTCGGTGAAGCCTAAGGTACACAGGAGTTATAACGGCTGGCTGACATTTCTCTGTAATGAATCCGTTATTTCCAATATCTTGTAATCTATCTTAAATATTCATTTCGATGATGTGTAGGCAGCTAAAATGTTGTAAACAGCAACATTTACACGTCACGTCTACGGTGTATTTGTTGATTTGACAGGATAAATATAGATTCTGAGTGTATAACATTAACGAGACTCCAGTCATATCGAGACATAACGTTACGTCATCAATACATGTGACAACACTTGAAAGCGAGGCTTCTTAAATATAAATGATAAAGATGGAGTCTTTCTTTTAGATATTTCATTTGTTTTTAAAGATTTCTAAGTCAATAGGCCACTAAAGAGTACAGTCAAATATTTGAATTAAATGAACAAGATAATGCGGAGGTTATAACAAAATCATAGTTTGAACTCACAAAATGTGATCAAAGGAAAGTTTTAAATGGAGACCATATGTTTCGGAAGGATAAGCGTCTTATGATTCATAAATAATAAAGGCGGAATCTTTCTTTTAGGATTAAGCAGCTATAAACTATCCACAGTTGTTTTTTACGATAATCTCTGATGACAAGTATTGCTAAATAACATATGTCATTGGACCATTTTGGCCATTGCGACAGTCTCGAATATTAATTTTGGTACTTGTTGAAATGAAATGTTTTAACATATAACTTAATGTGTAAATTTAGCAGCGTAGAATGATAAGGCAAGCACCGTTTACCACCTAATAGTCACGATGTGTATCACAAGGCTTGTAATTACAAGTCGTCTGCATTATTTAAATAAGCTTAATGACCCTTCAGCACGAAATGGAGTCCGTTTAGGTCAAACTGTGATAAAGTCGGCAGATTATTGATGATTAGACAACGTTAAGACCAGGAGGGAAAGACCAAAGGGAAATAAAGCCTTAGTTATTGTTCGGTAAACTAACGGAATATACATGTAGGATAACTACTGCCAACGGAGTTCTGCTGTACGTTGTTGATTTAAACATATTTTATTGCAAATAAATATTTACAAAATAATTGGACACAAGTTTTCACAACTTATCACAGAGAGACAGAGAGAGATAGAGAGAGAGAGAGAGAGAGAGAGAGAGAGAGAGAGAGAGAGAGAGAGAGAGAGAGAGAGAGAGAGAGAGAGAGAGAGAGAGAGAGAGAGAGAGAGAGAGAGAGAGAGAGAGAGAGAGAGAGAGAGAGAGAGAGAGAGAGAGAGAGAGAGAGAGAGAGAGAGAGAGAGAGAGAGAGAGAGAGAGAGAGAGAGAGAGAGAGAGAGAGAGAGAGAGAGAGAGAGAGAGAGAGAGAGAGAGAGAGAGAGAGAGAGAGAGAGAGAGAGAGAGAGAGAGAGAGAGAGAGAGAGAGAGAGAGAGAGAGAGAGAGAGAGAGAGAGAGAGAGAGAGAGAGAGAGAGAGAGAGAGAGAGAGAGAGAGAGAGAGAGAGAGAGAGAGAGAGAGAGAGAGAGAGAGAGAGAGAGAGAGAGAGAGAGAGAGAGAGAGAGAGAGAGAGAGAGAGAGAGAGAGAGAGAGAGAGAGAGAGAGAGAGAGAGAGAGAGAGAGAGAGAGAGAGAGAGAGAGAGAGAGAGAGAGAGAGAGAGAGAGAGAGAGAGAGAGAGAGAGAGAGAGAGAGAGAGAGAGAGAGAGAGAGAGAGAGAGAGAGAGAGAGAGAGAGAGAGAGAGAGAGAGAGAGAGAGAGAGAGAGAGAGAGAGAGAGAGAGAGAGAGAGAGAGAGAGAGAGAGAGAGAGAGAGAGAGAGACAGAGAGAGGAGATAGAGAAAGAGATGGAGAGAGAGAGATAGAGAGATATGGAGAGAGAGATAGAGAGAGAAAGATGATCACATTCAGCAAAACCGGTTGCATTTGCTGATATAATTTTGGACAGATTTTGCAATTGAGGTGTTTTCATCATTGCTGAATTAAGGATCGCCATATAGGAGCAAGTTAAAAGTTAAATCATCACGGAAAGTGTGTAGCTCTCTTATTAATAGATTTCGATGCTGGGTGTATAGGGGACAGACACCGAGCAAGTGATATGAGTCTTCACATGGATTACCTTCTGTATGCAGGTTGTCTGAACTAAATACGCACCCACTCTTCATCTGTATTACGTCATTTCAATACAAACGAACGTAATTATTCATAGCTAGTGTTCATGCTAGTCTTAGGGTACAAAAATCAAAGCAAGTACACAAAATAAGTAAACGAAACACTAGGGTTATGTTTTCGAGATAATAGATCTTTTCATGACAGAACCAAACTCCTGTGAGAGCCAGCTAATAGATGACACGACTTAGCCCGTCTGAACTGTCATGGTATCCTAGGTATATCTGTGGTCTCAGAGTAATTCTTTGATTAAAGATAAAAAAAATATTACATAGAAGCCTAAAGCTAAAATTGCTATCGGAAAACTTTTTGAAGATCTTTAAAGTACAGACACCACTGTCTATCATACTTATGTTTGATGTCAGGAACTAATGAAATAGCAAAATAAATATAGAAAGACTTGTTTATTCTGTCATGAGGAAATGCAACGCAGTAGACTGAAGATGGGAACCCGAGAGCGGAGTCCTGTCTTTGCAAAAATGAATTGAGAATAAAATGACTTCAAGAATATTTGTTTAGAAGAAAAATATGCAGTGGTTTGTAACGTTTCACACATGTACATAACAGATCATTACCCTGCTCACTAACCGTCTTTTCCTGATTTGCATTTAATTAAATATGGATTTTTGGTTGGGTGGCGAATCGGATAACTCACTCGCCTTTCACCAAGGCTGCCGGGGTTCGATTCCCTAATCGGACGTGAAAAGGTATTTGGTCACCTGCCCGACCTCGTGGGTTTTTCTCCGGGCGCTCCGATTTCCTCCCACATTAAGATACTCTGCTCGCTTCCTTTCGAGCCAACAAGCAGGATTAATATAAGTTAGACAAATTATCACATTATTGTTGTAAAATATATAAAGTTTATTTTGATTGTATATGTATGAAGTATATTTCTTTAATTTGATCTAGAGTGGTAATAATGGTTTTCTTGGGATATTCCGGTTTCCTCCAAAATTAAGACCTCTGCGCGCTGCAATTCTGGCCAACAAGAGTGATTAATATAAGATGATATAAATTGTTTCGCAATCGTTGTAAAATAAGTTTAAGTTAAGTGGTGTAAGTGGTGTTATTGTACTAGTGATAATCGTGTTTTGGACAATACATTTCTCCGTATATTAACTGGTTTAATTGCTGATATATCCATATTTATTAAAAGTAACATTTACGATTGTCGGATTTGAGATTCCATCAACCATCATTATCGCTTTAACATATCCAATGATATGTGTTGTCCTACTTATTAAAACTAAAATGAAAACTTAAAATACAAGTAAAAATTAAAACTTAATAAGACGTATTGTTGGATGCAGACAATTACATTGTAACACAGACATAAACAAAGAAACAACTGCACTTTTGGAGCTTGGTTGGAAAATAGAAAACAGTAAACTGTAAGTGTAATTTAATAAACGAAGCTTATTAAAATCTAGAACTGAACATTTGTGTCCTTGGCAACACATTCTAAAAACACTGTCAGCGCCAGTCAACATGATTGTCTTTTCGTCTTCGTGTCTATCTCCACCAAATACTGCAATTCAGACATGGCGGCTAACTTCTAATTATCTGTCACTGGCATGCAGCTGCTGACACTCGTACTGGTAAATTGAGACGACTTGTCCTTTTCGTTTGATTCGCCCCGGGTAAAATATGGACAGTAGACTTTTTTTCTCATCTGTTTGGTAATAACAAATGGATTTCGGCGTTTTTGTTTTATATAACGCAATTGATACACGACGCCAGCTCACCACCTGGTTACTTTGAATTCATTGATGGTTTCTCTCTACTTCTATCTACCTTTTATTTCCTAGCGCCTCGCTTGGCAACACCTCGCTTTTGGTTTTGAGTTCTCTCTCCCAGGCCGGGACATACTAAAGTCCTTAAAAAATGGTAGTTGTGATTCCCTGCTTAACGTTCAGCATTTAAGGGGAACGGCAACAACTGGTTCACTCGTTGTCAGTAAAATGTAACCGGGCGGAATGCT